CTTGTAAAACTACAACTCCATGGCTTGGGAGTTGTAGTTGGCAGAAGTTAATTTCCTCCAACGTCAGCTTGAGTCCTTCTCAGCTTTGCCCAGGACTGCAAAAAGCAAACCCAGCCCAGCAAGAGGCAAGCAGAAGAACAAGCTCTCTTTGGAGAAATGGCCATAAATCATCCCATGGAACAGCCTGGGGATTTTGGTAACCTTGCCTCCATGGTTCAAAGGCACCTCCAGGAGCCGGTCCCTTGTCATGATCCACGCTTCACCTGCTCCCGTTCAGGGCATGCATTCACCCAGGGTTAATACCTGACGGATTAAGTCCCTTCCCTCACCTCCACGGCTCATTGCCCCTCTAAACATCCCGCTGGGCCTAATGAGCCGTGCTCCCTGGAAGAGAGAAAGAGAAAGAGGAGAAAGGGCCGGGTTGTTCCACCAGAAAACAAGGTTGTGAGTCTCCCTGGCAGAAAAAGAGAAAGAAGGGAAGAGAGAAGGAAGGAGGAGGAAATGTGTGGAAGAGGAACTTGTCTTTTCCCCCTCTCAAACCTGCACATCAATGGCTGCATTGCTCACGAGGAATAGAATCATAGAATCATAGAATCAAAGAGTTGGAAGAGACCTCATGGGCCATCCAGTCCAACCCCCTGCCAAGAAGCAGGAATATTGCATTCAAATCACCCCTGACAAATGGCCATCCAGCCTCTGCTTAAAAGCTTCCAAAGAAGGAGCCTCCACCACACTCCGGGGCAGAGAGTTCCACTGCTGAACGGCTCTCACAGTCAGGAAGTTCTTCCTCGTGTTCAGATGGAATCTCCTCTCTTGTAGTTTGAAGCCATTGTTCCGTGTCCTAGTCTACAAGGAAGCAGAAAACAAGCTTGCTCCCTCCTCCCTGTGGCTTCCTCTCACATATTTATACATGGCTATCATATCTCCTCTCAGCCTTCTCTTCTTCAGGCTAAACATGCCCAGCTCTTTAAGCCATCCTCATAGGGCTTGTTCTCCAGACCCTTGATCATTTTAGTCGCTCTCCTCTGGACACATTCCAGCTTGTCAAATATCTCTCTTGAATTGTGGTGCCCAGAATTGGACACAATATTCCTGCTGTGGTCTAACCAAAGAAGAATAGAGGGGTAGCATGACTTCTCTAGATCTAGACATGACTTCCCTAGATCTAGGACAATATGCTCCTTTTGTTTTGCCGCCACATCACATTGTTGGCTCATGTTTAACTTGTTGTCCACGAGGACTCCAAGATCTTTTCCACACGTCCTGCTCTCGAGCCAGGCCTCATCGTCTCTTTGCATTTCATTTTTCCTGCCAAAGTGGAGTATCTTGCATTTGTCCTGTTGAACTTCATTTTGTTAGTTTTGGCCCATCTCTCTAATCTGTCAAGATCGTTTTGAATTCTGCTCCTGTCCTCTGGACTATTGGCTATCCCTCCCAATTTGCTTCATGCCTTTCCCAAAACTTATCGCACACCAGGATTATGTTTTTACTTATCTGAAGGCACATCTTCACCTTGCAATTACTGCATCCTGGCATCACTTTAATGGCCATTGCTCAATGATACGGAATTATGGGACTTGGGGGTTGGAGAAGAACTTGCACTCTTCAGCAGCGAAGGTGAAGGACCTCTTCCTCCCAGGATTTTGTAGCATTGAGCCAAAGCAGTTAAAGTGGCATCAAACTGCAGTCATTCTACAAATCGATGCGGTTTGGCCCCACTTTAATTGCACCCTGAGTTCAGTAGGGTTTCTCCACTGATGGAGAAGAAGGAAGGCGAGGCAGCAATGGGAGAGGAAGAAAAAAAGGAAAAGAAGAGAAAGGAAGGAAGGAAGAGGAGAAGCAGGATAATGAAGAAGGAGAAGGAGAAGGAGAAGAGGACGAAATAGGGGAAAGAGAAGGAAGATGAGGCAGCAATGGGAGAGGAAGAAAAAAAGGAAAAGAAGAGGAAGGAAGAGGAGAAGCAGGATGATGATGAAGAAGAAGAAGAAGAAGAAGGAGAAGGAGAAGGAGAAGAAGGAGAAGAGGACGAAATAGGGGAAAGAGAAGGAAGATGAGGCAGCAATGGGAGAGGAAGAAAAAAAGGAAAAGAAGAGGAAGGAAGGAAGGAAGAGGAGAAGCAGGATGATGATGAAGAAGAAGAAGAAGGAGAAGGAGAAGAAGGAGAAGAGGACGAAATAGGGGAAAGAGAAGGAAGATGAGGCAGCAATGGGAGAGGAAGAAAAAAAGGAAAAGAAGAGGAAGGAAGGAAGGAAGAGGAGAAGCAGGATGATGATGAAGAAGAAGAAGAAGGAGAAGGAGAAGAAGGAGAAGAGGACGAAATAGGGGAAAGAGAAGGAAGATGAGGCAGCAATGGGAGAGGAAGAAAAAAAGGAAAAGAAGAGGAAGGAAGGAAGGAAGAGGAGAAGCAGGATGATGATGAAGAAGAAGAAGAAGGAGAAGGAGAAGAAGGAGAAGAGGACGAAATAGGGGAAAGAGAAGGAGATGAGGAAAGAGGAGGAAAGAGGCAGAGAGGAAGATTAAAGAGATCATAAGGCATCAAGACCTGCAACTGGAGTGCAAAACAAACAACTGTGGTTCCCAGTGGGAAAAAGATGCTTGGGAAGTATTTGACTTGTGATTTTGTGATACAAAATCCAGGATAGATATCTCGTTTGTTGTGACATACTGTGTTTTTGTGTCAGCAATAATAATAATAATAATCTTTATTTATATCCCACCCTATCTCCAACAAACAAAGACAAACATTCCATGCCAATATCAAAAGACAATAATAATAAAAAGTTTAACAGAAAATCACAAAAATTAAATTACGAAACCAAATGTTACACAACATGAAGTTAAAATTAAACAATTCACAGACACCAGATTATAACAATTTAAAAGCCAGAGATAACAGATTCTTAGATTTTGGGACAGTTTCTAAACCAGAAAAGCCTTTCGCCTTCAATGCCCAAGAGTGTTGGTGCCTCACCAAACTACAAATCCTGGGATCCCAATGCATTTAGCCATGGCAGTTAATGTGGTGATGTTTTATATTTATCATGTCAGAAGTGAGTTGGGAATACAGTTATAATATATTTAAAAGAACACAAACAAAGTTGAAAACTTGCCATTATACTAGATTTCCTTTGAATGGAAGCTGGCCACTCTGAGTGCCTCTGGTGTCACTATAAGAAGGTCCTCCACTGTGCATGTGGCAGGGCTCAGACCACATTGTAGTAGGTGGTCTGTGTTTTGCTCTTCTCCACATGTTGTGGACACCACATGTATAACTGGTGTATAACTGCATTAATTCGACAGTGAATGTGCACCCCTAAACAGTTAAAATGGTGTGAAACTGTGTTCATTCCATAGCAGTGTTTCTCAACTGGGGATCGGGACCCCTGAAGGGGTCGTGAGGGGGTTTCAGAATGGTCACCAAAGACCATCAGAAAACACAGTGTTTTCTGTCGGTCATGGAGGTTCTGTGTGGAAATTTTGGCCCAATTCTATCATTGGTGGGGTTCAGAATGCTCTTTGATTGTAGGTGAACTATAAATCCCAGTAACTACAACGCCCAAATGTCAAGATCTATTTTTCCCAAACTCCACCAGTGTTTCCATTTGGGCATATTGAATATTCATGCCAAGTTTGGTCCAGATCCATCATTGTTTGAGTCCACAGTGCTCTCTGGATGTATGTGAACTACAACTTCCAAACTCAAGATCAATGCCCACCAAACCCTTCCAGTATTTCTGTCGGTCATGGGAGCTCTGTGTGCCAAGTTTGGTTCAATTCCATCATTGGTGGAGTCAAAATGTTCTTTGATTGTAGGTGAACTATAAATCCCAGCAAGGTCTATTTTTCCCAAACTCCACCCGTGTTCACATGTGGGCATGTTGAGTATTCGTGCCAAGTTTGGTCCAGATCCATCATTGTTTGAGTCCACAGTGCTCTCTGGATGTATGTGAACTACAACTCCCAAACTCAAGATCAATGCCTTCCAAACCCTTCCAGTATTTGTTGGTCATGGGAGTTCTGTGTGCCAAGTTTGGTTCAATTCCATCATTGGTGGAGTCAGAATGCTCTTTGATTGTAGGTGGATTATAAATCCCAGCAAGGTTTGGGACCTGGGGGGGGGGGGGTTGCAAGGGGGTGTCAGAAGGGTCACCAAAGACCACCAGAAAACACAGTATTTTTTGTTGGTCATGGGGGTTCTGTGTGAGAAGTTTGCCCCAATTCTGTGGCTGGTGGGGTTCAGAATGCTCCTTGATTGTAGGTGAACTATAAATCCCAGTAACTACAACTCTCAAATGTCAAGGTCTCCATCTGTGTTTATATTTGGGCATATTGAGTATTTGTGCCAAGTTTGGTCGAGATCCATCATTGTTTTGAGTCCACAGTGCTCTCTGAATGTAGGTGAACTACAACTCCAAAACTCAAGGTCAATGCCCACCAAACCCTTCCAGTATTTTCTCTTGATCGTGGAAGTTCCGTGTGCCAAGTTTCAATTTCATTGTAGGTGGAGTTCAGAATGTTCTCTGATTGTATGTGAACTATAAATCCCAGGAACTCCACCTCCCAAATGACAAAATCAATCCCCCCAACCCCACCAGTATTCAAATTTTGGTGTATCAGGTTTTTGTGCCAAATGTGGTCCAGTGAATGGAAATACATCTTGCAGATCAGATATTTACATTACGATTCATAACAGGAGCAACATTACAGTTATGAAATAGCAACAAAAATAATGTTATGGTTGGGGGTCACCACAACATGAGGAACTGTATGAAGGGGTCGAGACATTCGGAAGGTTGAGAACCATCGTCCCATAGTATAAAGCATTCTTGGGCCCCATCTGCACTGCCATATAGCACAGTTTCAAACTGCATTCCCTGGCAGTGGAGATGAGGGCTGCAAAAAGCACATTGTTGTTGTTTAGAGTTGAAACCAAAGGGGCTTTCTCCAGCATTTTAGAATAGAATATAGAATAACTTCATTGTCATTGTAGATTACTTTACCTCCAAGGAGTCGTCGGTGTTCACCATCCAGCAGTCCGTCCAGGTTGCCGCGATCAGGAACCCAGCGGAGAAGAAAGCCACAAGGCAGCCCAGGTACTGGAGAAGGAGCTTCATGGTTGCTTCCAAAGTCTTCCCAATCAGGTTCCTATGGATGGAAGGGAACAGCCCTCCGCTCACCTTGGGAACTTCTGGCGGCCTTTGGCTAATGATCCACAGGAGGGAACACCTGCTTTGTGGACTGAATTGAGAAGGACACACAAACACACACACACACACTCCGCCAATGAGGGAACCAATCCCCAGTGCCTTGCTGGATCAGTTTGCAAAACCTCAGCAATCTTTAATAAATCCCCACACCCTATGCAACATCACAGAATAGCAATAAATCATGATTTCAACTCTTGCTTCTGCTTCATCCACCCTCTCTCCCTCCCCGCCTCAAGCCGCAGGTGTTTACCTGCGGCTTGTAAACCTATTACCAATATATTATGTTCCATTCTAGTTTTATTAATGACTAGCGGTCCCCTCTTCGTGACCTCATGGACCAGCCCACGCCAGAGCTCCCTGTCGGCCGTTACCACCCCCTGCCACACATTGCTGTGGCCCAGTCTGGTGACCTGGAAAATAAAGTAATGAGAAAGTGTTGATTTCTAATCTATGTAATTTCTTTCTGCTTGTGGGTAAACAGTATTTCTTGCTGTTTCTTTGCCAGTGTTGATGTGAAGAGTGTCTGGTTTCCCTACTCTGGAACATGAAACATATAATTGTCCTTCTTTACGGGTCCTTTTCAAATCTATGGTACTATATCTGTCATAAACATGTGTGTGTGTCTCTCTCTCTCTCTGTGTGAGAGAGAATCTTTTATATCTATCTATATGTCTGGATGGCTCTTTGTCAGGAGGGCTTTATGTTTTCTTGCCCTGGTTCCTTGCTTCCTTGGAGACTAGGACGCAGAACAATGGCTTCAAACTACAAGAGAGGAGATTCCATCTGAACATGAGGAAGAACTTCCTGACTGTGAGAGCCATTCAGCAGTGGAACTCTCTGCCCTGGAGGGAGTGTGGTGGAGGCTCCTTCTTTGGAAGCTTTGAAACAGAGGCTGGATGGCCATTTGTCAGGGGTGATTTGAATGCAATATTCCTGCTTCTTGACAAAATGGGGTTGGACTGGATGGCCCATGAGGTCTCTTCCAACTCTTTGATTCTATGATTCTATGGTGAAGGGAGTTGGACTGGATGGCCTTAAGGCAGCATTTCTCAATCTTGGGTTTGGGACCTCTGGTGGGGTGGTTGCAAGGGGATCAGAAGGGTCACCAAAGACCTCGAGAAAACACAGTATTTTCTGTTGGTCATGCGGGTTCTGTGTGGGAAGTTTGCCCCAATTCTCTGGTTGGTGGGGTTCAGAATGCTCCTTGATTGTATATAAATCCCAGTAACTACAACTCCCAAATGTCAAGGTCTCCATCTGTGTTTATATTTGGGCATATTGAGTATTCGTTTAGAGTTTGGTCCAGATCCATCATTCTTCCTTTTTCCTTCCATTTTCCCCAGCATCCTTGTCTTCCTTAAGCTTTACTTTCTTCTCATGATGTGGCCAAAGGACTTCATCTTGACCTCTACTATCCTTCCCTCCAATGAGCAGTCAGGCTTTATTTCCTGGAAGATGGACTGGTTGGATCTTCTCCAAGGCACTCTCAGAACTTTCCTCCAACACCACAGTTCCAAAGCACCTCTCTTCCTTCGCTCAGCCTTCCCTATGATCCAGCTCTCCTATACATACGTTACAACAGGGAATACCATTGCTTTGACTATGCGGATGTTGGTTGCCAATGTGATGTCTCTACTCTTCACTCTTTGATCAAGATTGGACATTGCTCTCCTCCCAGGAAGAAAGCGTCTTCTGATTTCCTGGCCACAGTCTGCATCTACAGTAATCTTTGCACCTAGAAATACAAAGTCTGTCACGGCCTCCATGTTTTCTCCCTCTATTTCCCAGTTGTCAATCATTCTTGTTGCCATGATTTTGGTTTTTTTTATGTTGAACTGCAACCCAGCTTTTGCACTTTCTTCTTTCACCTTGATTAGAAGGTTCCTCAGCTCCTCCTCGCTTTTGGCCATCAGAGTGGTGTCATCTGCATATCTAAGGTTGTTAATGTTTCTTCCAGCAATTTCTACCCCAGCCTTGCATTCATCAATCTCTGCATCTCGCATGATGTGTTCTGCATACAAGTTGAATAGGTTGGGGGAGAGTAGACAACCTTGCCGTACGCCTTTCCCAATCTTGAACCCGTCTGTTGTTCCAGGGTCAGTTCTGACTGTTGCTACTTGGTCCTTATACAGATTCCTAAGGAGACAGACAAGGTGATTTGGTATGCCCATTCCACCAACAACTTGCCACAATTTATTATGATCCCTAATCTTCCCCATATATTGCCCCAAGTATTCAACATAGTCCCTGAAACGTGCTTTAAATCACTAATTGGCTATGAATAGCAGTTTCCCAAGGAACTGCCTTGCATTCCGAGCCTTATCCACCAGGTGACAGTAGACTCATTCTAACTTCTTTGATGTCAAAATTTTGAAAATTTCAATTTCAATGTCCTCGGAAAGAAAGGAAGGAAGGAAGGAAGTAATTCTGGTTTTAGCTAATTTTGCTCCTAACAGGAGCAACATTAGAGTTATGGAGTCACAACAAAAGTTATTTTATGGTTGGGGGTCACCACAACATGAGGAACTGCATTAAGGGGTCATGGCATTAGGAAGGTTGAGAAACATTGCTCCAGAGGAGTTTTTCGCAACCTGGGGGTCGGGACCCCTGGGAGGGTCATGAGAGGGTGTCAGAGGGATCGCCAAAGACCATCAGAAAACACAGTATTTTCTGTTGGTCATGGGCATTCTATGTGGGAAGTATGGCCCACTTTAGTCATTAGTGGGGTTCAAGATGCTCTTTGATTGTAGGTGAACTATAAATCCCAGCCACCACAACTCCAAAATGCCAAGGTCTATTTTCCCCAAACTCCACCAGTGTTCATATTTGGACATATTGAGTATCCTTGTCAAGTTTGGTCCAGATCCATCATTATTTGAGTACACAGTGCCCTCTGGATGTAGGTGAACTACAACTCCAAAATTCAAGGTCAATGCCCACCCACCAAACCCTTCCAGTATTTTCTGTTGATCATGGGAGTTCCGTGTGCCAAGTCTGTTTCAACTCCATCCTTAGTGGACTTCAGAATCTTCTTTGCTTGTAGGTGAACTTTAAATCCCAGGAATTACAACTCCCAAATGACAAAATGCACCCCCACCAAACCCACCAGTATTCATATTTGGATGTAGCGGGTATTTGTGCCAAATTTGGTCCAGTGAATGAAGATACATCCTGCATATCAGATATTTACATTACGATACATAACAATAGCAAAATTACAGTTATGAAGTAGCAACGAAAGTAATGTTATGGCTGGGGGTCACCACCACATTAGGAACTGTATTAAGGGGTTGCGGCATTAGGAAGGTTGAGAAACACTTCTCTAGAGAAAGTCCCCATGAGGACCCAAGGCAGTATATTCCACTGCCAAACAGCTCTTATTATCAGGAAGCTCTTCCTAATGTTTAACTGGAATATGCTCTTTTTCTGTAGATTGAATCCCTGGCTCCCTTGTGTCCCAGTCTCTGGAGCAGCAGAAAACAAGACTTGCCCCTCTCTCCTCAATGGGATTTTCTTTCAAACATTGAATCATGGCTCTTGCATCTCCTCTCAGCCTTCTTTTCTCCAAGCTAAATAATATACCCAGTGCCCTCAGCCATCCCTTTCCCTCCTGTTGCCCCAGTTTGACAGGGATGGTCCCAAATAGTCCTCCTAATGAACCTTTAGTCCCAATTCGGCCTTATTTTGGCTTGAATTTTCATTCATATCCCAGCTATTTTCAGCAATGTCTCAGAAAGTCAGCCTTCAGATCTGCACAGCACCCAACGGTCCTAATTTGGCAGGAGGAGGAGGAAGGAGAAGAATCAGAGACTCAAAAGTATAATAGAGTTGGAAGAGGCCACATGGGCTATTTAGTCTGACCCCCTGCCATGCAGGAAAAGCTACAATCAAAGGAGGATATGGAAGGATGAGAGGAGGAGGAAGAGAAGAGAAGAAGACACACGGAGGAGGGAGCAAGCTTGTTTTCTGCTTCACCCTTAAAGTGTAACTGGAACTGCCAATGTATAAATCTGATTTGGTGAATCTCATGCCTTGTGACAGAAACAGGCTAATGAGTGGAAGTCTGTTTGATGGGATAGCTATTGTGTTTGTGTAAACCACAACTCCCTTCCATTAACAAACCTCTCCCCAATTAATAAATTCATTTATGTGTCCTCAGAAACTTCCTGGCCTCCATTGATGGGATCTGAACCATCAGCTGATATGTACCAGCAGACCTGCTGCAGGCTAAGCCAGCCTATTGTTTCCTCAAATAATCGCAATCACCCATTTGTGTGTTCTGAACTATCTGTTTGTGTTTACCTGTACTGGGCATTTATTTAATCATGGGACTTATCGCATTCATAGAATCATAGAATCCTAGAGTTGGAAGAGACCTCCTGGGCCATCCAGTCCAACCCCATTCTGCCAAGAAGCAGGAATATTGCACTCAAAGCACCCCTGACAGATGGCCATTCAGCTTCTGTTTAAAAGCCTCCAAAGAAGGAGCCTCCACCACACTCCAAGGCAGAGAGTTCCACTGCTGAACGGCTCTCACAGTCAGGAAGTTCTTCCTCATGTTCAGGTGGAATCTCCTCTCTTGTAGTTCCTGGACTTTCTTGTAGTTCCTGGACAGTTCCTGGACTTACACCTTCATGAGAGCAGACATTTAAACAAACTTGGACTTTGAATTCACCAACCACAGCTGTTCCTTTTTCCCACCACGGCAGGGAAACTCCTCCAACAAGTGACATCAGGAGGAATCCCCAGCAAATCGGAACCTGAATCCAAACCAGGCTGGCCATCCACCAATCAGGGAAGGGCACAGGTATTTTGATTGGCTGTGAAAGTCAAGAAAATGCTTCTCTGTATGCCTTATGGCAGTTCTTTTTGAGCAGAGACTCTGTACTGACATCCTTTCTTGGCAGAAAGAATAA